TTATTTTTAGGACCCACGGGTTACGCAAAAAACCCATCGCATAAAAACAACAATAAAACAGCTGCAGCTTTTTCCCCCAGTGCCACCAGGCCGTCCCGTATATTACCGATTTGATGTTAAACAAAAGGAAAATAAAAATAGCTGTGTGCTTTCCATACAAAAATAAAACAAAATCTCTGCAAATGTTTTTTTGATTTTGCGCATTCAAATTAACAAATTATTAACTATCAAAAAACTATGATGTCTCATAACATAGTCATAACTGGAAAAGAGGAAACTATTTCCACTGGATGGAACATATACATTTTTGACAAGCAAAGAAGCATGTTCATCTCATTGGGTTTTAGCAGTATGGGCAGGTAACAATATTACCAGCAAAGCAGAAGACGCCCTCTGAAGGGGTGCGCGTCTTTGTCCACAAAGTCACCTGCACGAGTATATCGTCCCTCGCCAACTGTTTTGACTGACGAACATTGGTTGGAGAATCATTACAATTCGCCCAACCTTAATTTCTATATCCCATAAAAAATAAAGTACTATAATTGTTCATGTTTGAAGATTTCATCCTGTAACTTCTTGCTTTCAAATCGCAAGTTAAGAAAAATCATTTCCAAAGCTTTTAAAATCTTACCCAGTGAACATAACTTTGACAGCTTAAAAGGTTGTGACTGTGGTCACAACTACATCCCACTTTAGTTTTTGTTCTTTTTTTAATATAGCATGGGTTTATCCATTAAGCCAGGGGCTCTCTGAGTATAAGGGGCTTCCCCCTCTGCATAGCGACTGCAGTCATTTATTTCAGGCATTTCCACCTGCCAGCACAGCTCAGCCTGGCAGACTGAGGGGGCAGAGGAAGAGCCCCTGTCTGCACCCTGTTTATCTCTGCACCATCATCACTGCCAGATCATATGACAGGCCTCAGTTCAGGAATAATATATATCAACATGTAAAAAGCAACTTTTGCTAACAAGTACTGTAAAAAAAATTCTTTAGGTTGTTTTCCTTTTGTACTATCTGAATACAAAATAATTTTTTTCTATGTTTTATAACATCTAAGCAAAAGAGAAAACACCAGGAGAAAGTTGATCATGGAGGCTGTAAAGCTGCTTGGAAAGCTACAACTACGGTAGTAAAAAGTGTCATCCTTTGTTCTCATCTAATGATGTTAATCTACAACTGAAATTTTTTTTTTTTTTTATCAAAGCCGATATACAGGTGCTGGTCATAAAATTAGAATATCATGAAAAAGTAGATTGATTTCAGTAATTCCATTTAAAAAGTGAAACTTGTATATTATATTCATACATTACATACAAACTCATATATTTCAGATGTTTATTTTGTTTAATTTTGATGATTACAAATGACAACAAATGAAAATCTCAAATTCATCATATCAGAAAATTAGAATATTGTGAAAAGGTTCAAAATTGATGGCCCCTGGTGCCACACTCTAATCAGCTAATTAACTCAAACCACCTGCAAAAGCCTTTAAATGGTCTTTCAGTCTAGTTCTATAGGCTACACAATCATGGGGAAGACTGCTGACTTGACAGTTGTCCAAAAGACGACCATCGACACCTTGCACAAGGAGGGCAAGACACAAAAGGTCATCGCTAAAGAGGCTGGCTGTTCACAGAGCTCAGTGTCCAAGCACATTAATAGAGAGGCGAAGGGAAGGAAAAGATGTGGTCGAAAAAAGTGTACAAGCAAGAGAGATAACCGCACCCTGGAGAGGATTGTGAAACAAAACCCATTCAAAAATGTGGGGGAGATTCACAAAGAGTGGACTGCAGCTGGAGTGAGTGCTTCAAGAACCACCACACACAGACGTATGAAAGACATGGGTTTCTGCTGTCGCATTCCTTGTGTCAAGCCACTCTTGAACCACAGACAGCGTCAGAAGCGTCTTGCCTGGGCTAAAGAGAAACAGGACTGGACTGCTGGTGAGTGGTCCAAAGTCATGTTCTCTGATGAAAGTAAATTTTGCATTTCCTTTGGAAATCAAGGTCCCAGAGTCTGGAGGAAAAGAAGAGAGGCACTTCATCCACGTTGCTTGAAGTCCAGTGTAAAGTTTCCACAGTCAGTGATGGTTTGGGGTGCCATGTCATCTGCTGGTGTTGGTCCATTGTGTTTTCTGAGGTCCAGGGTCAACGCAGCCACATACCAGGAAGTTTTAGAGCACTTCATGCTTCCTGCAGCTGACCAACTTTTTGGAGATGCAGATTTCATTTTCCAACAGGACTTGGCACCTGCACACAGTGCCAAAGCTACCAGTACCTGGTTGAAGGACCATGGTATCCCTGTTCTTAATTGGCCAGCAAACTCTCCTGACCTTAACCCCATAGAAAATCTATGGGGTATTGTGAAGAAGAAGATGCAATACACCAGACCCAACAATTCAGAAGAGCTAAAAGCCACTATTAGAGCAACCTGGGCTATCATAACACCTGAGCAGTGCCACAGACTGATCGACTCCATGCCACGCCGCATTGCTGCAGTAATACAGGCCAAAGGAGGCCCAACTAAATACTGAGTGCTGTACATGCTCATACTTTTCATGTTCATACTTTTCAGTTGGCCAACATTTCTATAAATCCTTTGTTTTTATTGGTCTTCAGTAATATTCTAATTTTCTGATATGATGAATTTGAGATTTTCATTTGTTGTCATTTGTAATCATCAAAATTAAACAAAATAAACATCTGAAATATATGAGTTTGTATGTAATGTATGAATATAATATACAAGTTTCACTTTTTAAATGGAATTACTGAAATCAATCTACTTTTTCATGATATTCTAATTTTATGACCAGCACCTGTACTATCCTATTAAGCATACCAGACAGGAATGGGTTTACAGCTTTCATTGCTGATGTGCCGTATCAACGATTAAACCCAAATTCAGCTAAATCTGTGTAAAAACAACTCTGTGTTTCTCTGTGCTTCCATGTGCCTTCCCCTCTCTGTCCTGCTATTCTTCATAGTTTCTGTATCTCTTTAATCATTTTCTTCCTGCTGTACCAAAAATAGACAGAATAATTACATCAATATTTTAAGGCATGGGAGATTGCCAGAAAAGAAAGTGTACAGGTTTTAAAACTGCAAAAAACAGTCTAAACCTAAAAATATGAAACAGATAAAATGTCAGAATTTAGTTTTCTGAGAAATCATCCATCTGATGCTATTGGCAAACAGTGATGGAATATTGAAAAACCCGTTTATATATATATATATATATATATATATATATATATATATATAAATGGATGAATAAATATTTTGTTTAAGTGCTCTTTGCCTTTGCAATATAGCACATATTGATGTGGGGATTAAAAATGCTGTGGGAATCACACACTGGTCCATGCCTGAATTATACTGTCAATCATTTGGAGGAAAACAGCTGTCTTAGCCTAACTGAATTTAATTATGTATTAAACTTATAATATAATTTGACACTAAGGGTGATGGATGAGGAGGGACTTGGGCTGACATTGTGAAACAAATATTCAGGGGAATATGTTTAAAACTTTGTAATTACAGCCTTAAAGCATTGAATGAGAACTGGGCAGAAACAAAAAAGGCTATCTCAGACCTCTGGGAAATAAAAAACGGAAACATACTTAACAGCCATTGCTCTTTTAAAAAGTTCACACACCAACACAGACAGACAGTCATTTTCTTTCAGCCCTGCCCACCACAACGACCCTCCCCCCCTCTTAGTTTGGGAGGAGGGGTGTTCCAACGAGGCCCATATTTTACTCCTTGTAAGGAGATTCAGCATTCCACAACTCCTTCTTTCCTGAGATTTACATCAGAGTAAACAGACTGTCATCTAGGAGCACCAACAGCATTACAGCTGAGGTCCAATAGGACAGCCAACGAAGGGTTTAAAGACAACACCGGCTTCTGCAGCAAAAATTAAAGCATGATGATAGATTTGTTTCCTCAAATAACAGAGACACGAATCAGAAAAAAAGGATCTGGTAATCAGCTAATTAGCATTAGCTGATTCAATCAATCGATCTAACCCTTCATAAAAAGAGATTGAAAATAACAAATGAGATTTGAGAGGAGAACATTTTTTTTAATATATTTTACAAAAAATATATATAGAATTTGCTTAAAAGTCCCCAATGTGCTGTCAAATGAACTAACATTTACTTTTTATATGTTTACCATTACACGATATTCAATAGCTAATATATAAAATAAATTTGGTCGGGGGGGGGGGGGGGGGGGGGGGGGGGGGGGGGGGGGGGGGGCCTAATACAGAAGTAAAATTGGATGTCCTTTTGAAAGGAAAGATAGTTCACCAAAAAAACAGAAAAAAATCCTGTGGAGCACTAGAAATATTACACCATTTTGGAATAAACCACAGAGACAGCAAAGAAATGGGTTCAGTTTTAGATGTGGATTCAAGCCAGCATCAAAAACCATGTTTAAAAATGTGAGAGACTTTTAATGCATTTTTTCAATTACAATCTAAATCAGCAGTATCCTTAGTTGATATCATCCCCAATCATCTTAATGTTAAAAATATAAAACTTTTCACTCAACAACAAAATATACAAAAGTAGAAGAGTTATACAGGGAGATGACATAATGGGATCATGATATAGCTTGGTAAAAATAGCTTTTTATTTTAAGTTGTTTTGGAAAGAAGAACTTTTTCTATGGATAATGTCAAGCATGTGTGCTTTCATTTATTAATGAGATATGACTGTTTTGAGTTCTGATCATGCTTGATGCTGTTTTTTATATTTCTGTAAACCAACTGCGTTGCCTTTTTTCCACTTAAGCATTTGTTATTTGACCTGAATACACATTTATTTTGTAACAATAACAGCACATTATTGTTTTCCTTACTGAGAAGTTACATTTTCCTGTACTGTAACTATTAAAGTGATGCTTCTTTTCATATGGTTGTGTTGTGTAACTTTAAACTTTCTTTGTGATTTGTCATTTGTGATCCTAATGCTGGAAATGTAAACTTACCCTTGATTGAGGTCATTTTCTGTATTATCCAGCCACAAGCGAACCGCTACTGCGTTGCCTTCCCGGCACTGCGTAAAGATATCATCCATTGTGGTCGATGGACTCTTCTTTTTAGGTAGAGAAACTAAGATTAAGAAGACCTGAAGAGTTCAGGCAAGTTCCAGCAAGCATTAGTCCCTCATCTGGGACCTTATCAGGAATGGAAGCCAGGAATTAAGGAACACTGAAAGAAGGAAATTATAAAAAGAAGGAAATTATAAAATTAGACTATTCAAAACCTTTTATTTTGATTCACATAAACAAAAAAAAAACAAAAACAAAAACAGAAAAGTAAACAATAATTAATCTTAAGCATCTCTTTTAGTATGCTGGCTGGAGATAAAACACATAATATGTACAATACCGGAAAAAAGACTAAAGCTATACAAAATAACTTGCAATCCATATAGAAATGTATAGCTGGAACAATTAGCTGACATAATTCAACTCATTTTTTAAAAACTAACTCTGCTAGCATCGGCCAGATACACTCAACATTTGCACTTGCCGTGGTTCAGAGCATTCCTAAAAAACAGCACAAAATTTAAAGCCAAGTCAGCAAAAATTTATTCAACAACAAAAGAAAAAGAAAAGAAAAAAGAACAGAAACTAAAACAGTAAATAAATACAGAAAAGTGAGACAAAGTATTCCAAATAAAAGTGTATAATACTGATCTGCTGCACAGACTTAAAAAGAAACTGTGAAATTTAATGTACTAAATATAATAAAAAAAAAAAAACATAAGCATCCTTTAATTCTGTCTAGACCTAAAAATATTTCTACTCACTGTAGTAAAACTATAGGAGGTAAAATAAAAACAGAAATTTGGGAGTTTTTATAGTAAATATGAAGTAGCATAGCATATACAGTAGACTGTATGGTAGTTTTCCATTATAAAATCATAATCATGTAAGGTTAAAAAAAAGCACCTCTTTCAAGTTTAACTGTCGTTTTTGAAACAACCCCTATTAACTACCAATGTGTGGTTCAAAACATCCTTAAACGGACAGTAAATAATGCGCCTTTAATCTATGGGGTACATTCAAAAATATCACAGCCATTAACATGATGTCACCGTTACAAACTTAAAGTAGCCGCACGAGCTACTCTGCTAACAAAGCTAACACAATAAAGAAGAAGCTAAAGGTTTAGTCATATTCTTAAATTAATTGCAACTGAACCATTTCTTTGCTTCACATTAAACAGTCGGTTCCCTGACCGCTTCATATTAACCAGGAAGCAACGGTTGATAGAATTGGAGGAGAGCAGGTTTCTGCTAACAAGCTAACCAACTATTCAGACGCCTCGGGCTGTTTCTGTGCTTCTCTTTCTAACATGACACCGACTTATCACTGAAATTCACTTCTATTATTGTCCAACTACAGTCGACCTACAGTATTTGTTTAAGTAAGGAAAAACCTACCTTATAATGGTCGCTTTATGCGTTGTAGTAAAGTGAGAGAATAAGTTACTAGCTATAAATGCTGTAGTTGTCTCTGGGTAGATAGGTCCACACCCTCAGCGCCCCCAACACGCTTATCTGACTGGAATAGGGTGTGCTGCCCTCTACAGGTGACAGGAAGAATTGCAAAAAGTTAAAATCGATACCTCGGGCCATGTTTTTCCTTTTTTAGTTTATTTTTTGGTTTATTTATTTATCCGCAGCCCATATTCATAAAAACTAAGCACAAAAATGTTTTTTATTTTTTTTTATGGGTCCAATGTGAGTTTTTCTAATCTACGATTCTGGATTGTTGTTTACTTTTTAAAAAACATTGAGGTAATAAAACACAAAAATGTTATATTTTAAAATATATATATAGTTAAATCCAGGCATCCATTATTATTCACTTTGCTATATAGATCTGTCATGTGAAACCTAAAGAAACACTATAACATAATTCTGAATAAAATACTCAGTACAAAAGTAGAAAAAACAAATGCCATGTTTGATTATTGTAAACTCAAAGAGGATGTCAAATGATGCCAATTTCCTCATAATCGTTGTTGTTATTGTTAGCGTCATTTCTTCTTCTTCCTTTCTATTATGGTGAATCGCAAGCAACTTTTTGGTGCATACCGCCACCTACTGTACATGAGTGTGTAGCGACTTTATTACTTTACATCCAATTATATTGCTTAATTTTGTATTCTGTAGATAAATAGACAATGCTTTCCTTATTCTGTGAATATGCTTCATATTTCCTTAAATTCCAGGTAAATTCCTTTAAGACAAAATTATTTTCCTGTCCTTCCAACCATCCTCATTTTCTCCCTTTCATGTTCATAAGTTTTACAGTTCATCAGTTTATGTTCTACATGTTCTTTTTCTCCACATCCTTCACATTTATCATTATTTTTACTCCCTATTAAATATAAATTGTCATTTAAATAGGTATGACCCACTCTTAATCTGATGATTATTACTTCTTATCTTCTGTTTCTCTCATTTATGATTCTATTTAATACTGATTTTTGTACCTTAAATAATCCTCTTCCTTTATCTTTGTTCCATCTCTTTTGCTATTTTTCCATTTCTTTACTCTTAATAAGTGATTTACCTTCCCCTTTCCCAAAAGGAATTGTAATGGTTATTGTTCCCTCTAAAGCCCTTTTTGCTAATATATCTGCCTTTTCATTTCCTTTTACACCTTCATGTGCTGAGAACCCAACATAACCAAATATCAGTGCCACCCCTATATAATCTAAATAGACCGTGTTTAATTTCTAATACTAAATGTTTTCTATAATTTCCTTCTCCCTGAACACTTTCTAAAACTGCTTTGGAATCTGTACAGACCACAACCCTGTCTGGTCTAACCTCCTCATTGTAAGCTTAGTATAATTGCCACCATTTCTGCTGTGAAAACAGACAGTTGATCTGATGTTCTTTTAGAAATGTAGTTTTTAAACTCTGGTATGTATGGAAGCCCGTTTCCGCCACTCTGTAAAAAAAAAAAAAAAAAAACTATCTCAATATAATGAGATAGTAACTCAATATAATGAGATAGTAACTCAATATAATGAGATAGTATCTCATTATATTGAGTTACTATCTCATTATAATGAGATACTATCTCATTATATTGAGTTACTATCTCATTATCTTGTGATAGTTTTTTTTTTATTTTTTACCAATTTTTAAGTTAAAATTGAGTATTTTTGGTCAATAGCTCCCAGGTCATGTGACCTATTGATGCAAAATCAGTGTGAAATTGTTCTACTAGTCTCTGTAGATGGGGCACACTCATTTGTTTTGCATTTTAACTCTTTTTTATTTTTTTTTACCAATTTTTTTAGTTAAAATTGAGTATTTTTCGTCAATAGCTCCCAGGTCATGTGACCTATTGACCCAAAATCAGTGTGAAATGGTTCTACTAGTCTCTGTAGATGGGACACACTCATTTATGTTTCATTTTAACTCTTTTTTTATTTTTTTACCAATTTTTTAAGTTAAAATTGAGTATTTTTGGTCAATAGCTCCCAGGTCATGTGACCTATTGACCCAAAATCAGTGTGAAATGGTTCTACTAGTCTCTGTAGATGGGACACACTCATTTACTTTTCATTTTAACTCTTTTTTTATTTTTTAGCAATTTTTTAAGTTAAAACTGAGTATTTTTCTTCAATAGCTCCCAGGTCATGTGACCTATTGACCCAAAATCAGTGTAAAATTTTTCTACTAGTCTCTGTAGATGGGGCACACTTATTTGTTTTTCATTTTAACTCTTTTTTTATTTTTTAGCAATTTTTTAAGTTAAAATTTAGTATTTTTCTTCAATAGCTCCCAGGTCATGTGACCTATTGACCCAAAATCAGTGTAAAATTTTTCTACTAGTCTCTGTAGATGGGGCACACTCATTTGTCTTTCATTTTAACTCTTTTTTTATTTTTTTACCAATTTTTTAAGTTAAAATTTAGTATTTTTGGTCAATAGCTCCCAGGTCATGTGACCTATTGACCCAAAATCAGTGTGAAATGGTTCTACTAGTCTCTGTAGATGGGGAACACTTATTTGTTTTTCATTTTAACTCTTTTTTTATTTTTTAGCAATTTTTTAAGTTAAAATTTAGTATTTTTCTTCAATAGCTCCCAGGTCATGTGACCTATTGACCCAAAATCAGTGTAAAATTTTTCTACTAGTCTCTGTAGATGGGGCACACTCATTTGTCTTTCATTTTAACTCTTTTTTTTTATTTTTTTACCAATTTTTTAAGTTAAAATTGAGTATTTTTGGTCAATATCTCCCAGGTCATGTGACCTATTGACCCAAAATCAGTGTAAAATTTTTCTACTAGTCTCTGTAGATGGGGCACACTCATTTGTCTTTCATTTTAACTCTTTTTTTTTATTTTTTTACCAATTTTTTAAGTTAAAATTGAGTATTTTTGGTCAATAGCTCCCAGGTCATGTGACCTATTGACCCAAAATCAGTGTGAAATGGTTCTACTAGTCTCTGTAGATGGGGCACACTTATTTGTTTTTCATTTTAACTCTTTTTTTATTTTTTAGCAATTTTTTAAGTTAAAATTTAGTATTTTTCTTCAATAGCTCCCAGGTCATGTGACCTATTGACCCAAAATCAGTGTAAAATTTTTCTACTAGTCTCTGTAGATGGGGCACACTCATTTGTCTTTCATTTTAACTCTTTTTTTATTTTTTTACCAATTTTTTAAGTTAAAATTGAGTATTTTTGGTCAATAGCTCCCAGGTCATGTGACCTATTGACCCCAAATCAGTGTGAATTGTTGGGTCCCCCCTTACATGGGCCCACCACCCGTGAGAGGGGCCATAAGGGTCGTATGCAATGTGTGTTGGCCGGGGGAGGGGACCCTGGTGGTCCGATCTTTGGCTGCAGAAGCTGGCTCTTGGGATGTGGAATGTCACCTCGCTGGTGGGAAGGGACCGGAGCTAGTGTGTGAGGCTGAGAGGTTCCGGCTAGAAATAGTCTGTCTCACCTCGACGTATGGTTCTGGTTCTGGAACCAGTCTCCTATAGAGGGGCTGGACATACTTCCACTCTGGAGTTGCCCACAGTGACAGGCGCTGGGCAGGAGTGGGCATACTTGTTGCCCCCCATCTCGGTGCCTGTACGTTGGGGTTAATCCCGGTGGACGAGAGGGCTCCGCCTAAGGGTGGGGGGACGGGTTCTGACTGTTGTCTGTGCTAACGGGCCGAACAACAGTTCAGATTACCCACCCTTCTTGGAGTCCTTAGAGGGAGAACTGGAGGGTGCTCCTCCTGGGGACTCCCTTGTTCTGCTGGGAGACTTCAACGCTCACGTGGGCAATGACAGTGAGACCTGGAGGGGCATGGTTGGGAGGAATGGTCGCCCCGATCTGAACTCGGGTGGTGTTCTGTTGTTGGACTTCTGTGCTCGTCATGGATTGTCCATAACGAACACCATGTTCAAGCATAAGGGTGTCCATATGTGGTAAAAAATAAAAAAAGAGTTAAAATGCAAAACAAATGAGTGTGCCCCATCTACAGAGACTAGTAGAACAATTTCACACTGATTTTGGGTCAATAGGTCACATGACCTGGGAGCTATTGACCAAAAATACTAAATTTTAACTAAAAAAATTGCTAAAAAATAAAAAAAAGAATTAAAATGAAAATCAAATGAGTGTTTCCCCCATCTACAGAGACTAGTAGAACAATTTCCAAGTGATTTTGCATCAATAGGTCACATGATCTGGGAGCTATTGACCAAAAATACTCAATTTTAACTTAAAAAATTGCTAAAAAATAAAAAAAGAGTTAAAATGAAAAACAAATGAGTGTGCCCCATCTACAGAGACTAGTAAAACAATTTCACACTGATTTTGCATCAATAGGTCACATGACTTGGGAGCTATTGACCAAAAATACTCAATTTTAACTTAAAAAATTGGTAAAAAAAAAAAAAAAAAAATATCTCATTATATTGAGTTACTATCTCATTATATTGAGTTACTATCTCATTATATTGAGTTACTATCTCATTATAATGAGATAGTATCTCATTATATTGAGTTACTATCTCATTATATTGAGTTACTATCTCATTATATTGAGATAGTATCTCATTATATTGAGTTACTATCTCATTATATTGAGTTACTATCTCATTATATTGAGTTACTATCTCATTATAATGAGATAGTATCTCATTATATTGAGTTACTATCTCATTATATTGAGTTACTATCTCATTATATTGAGTTACTATCTCATTATATTGAGATAGTATCTCATTATATTGAGTTACTATCTCATTATAATGAGATAGTATCTCATTATATTGAGATACTATCTCATTATAATGAGATAGTATCTCATTATATTGAGATAGTATCTCATTATATTGAGTTACTATCTCATTATATTGAGTTACTATCTCATTATAATGAGATAGTATCTCATTATAATGAGATAGTATCTCATTATATTGAGATACTATCTCATTATAATGAGATAGTAACTCAATATAATGAGATACTATCTCATTATAATGAGATAGTATCTCATTATATTGAGTTACTATCTCAGTATATTGAGATACTATCTCATTATATTGAGTTACTATCTCATTATATTGAGTTACTATCTCATTATAATGAGATAGTATCTCATTATATTGAGTTACTATCTCATTATAATGAGATAGTAACTCAATATAATGAGATAGTAACTCAATATAATGAGATAGTAACTCAATATAATGAGATAGTATCTCAATATAATGAGATAGTATCTCATTATATTGAGATACTATCTCATTATATTGAGATAGTATCTCATTATATTGAGTTACTATCTCATTATAATGAGATAGTATCTCATTATATTGAGATACTATCTCATTATAATGAGATAGTAACTCAATATAATGAGATAGTAACTCAATATAATGAGATAGTAACTCAATATAATGAGATACTATCTCATTATAATGAGATAGTATCTCATTATATTGAGTTACTATCTCATTATAATGAGATAGTATCTCAATATAATGAGATACTATCTCATTATAATGAGATAGTAACTCAATATAATGAGATAGTATCTCATTATAATGAGATAGTATCTCAATATAATGAGTTACTATCTCATTATAATGAGATAGTATCTCATTATATTGAGTTACTATCTCATTATATTGAGTTACTATCTCATTATATTGAGATAGTATCTCATTATATTGAGTTACTATCTCATTATAATGAGATAGTATCTCATTATATTGAGATACTATCTCATTATAATGAGATAGTATCTCATTATATTGAGATAGTATCTCATTATATTGAGTTACTATCTCATTATATTGAGTTACTATCTCATTATATTGAGTTACTATCTCATTATAATGAGATAGTATCTCATTATATTGAGATACTATCTCATTATAATGAGATAGTATCTCATTATATTGAGTTACTATCTCATTATAATGAGATAGTATCTCATTATATTGAGTTACTATCTCATTATATTGAGTTACTATCTCATTATATTGAGTTACTATCTCATTATAATGAGATAGTATCTCATTATATTGAGATAGTATCTCATTATATTGAGTTACTATCTCATTATATTGAGTTACTATCTCATTATAATGAGATAGTATCTCATTATATTGAGATACTATCTCATTATAATGAGATAGTATCTCATTATATTGAGTTACTATCTCATTATAATGAGATAGTATCTCATTATATTGAGTTACTATCTCATTATATTGAGTTACTATCTCATTATATTGAGTTACTATCTCATTATAATGAGATAGTATCTCATTATATTGAGATAGTTTTTTTTTTTTTTTTTTTTTTACATAGTGGCGGAAACGGGCTTCCATAGGTATGTATATTCCTTTTCCCACAGCATCGTCATTCGGCGGTAACTGTACGTTTTCGATAGACGTAAAGAAAAAACGTCATTACCCAGAAATCCCCAGTGTGTATTACGTCATCGAGCCGCGTCTGTAGTTCTGTTTTGCTTCTTCGACGCACATGAAATTATCAACGTGGTGCTCCCTTCTTGACAAGAAACACCACCAAAGGTACATGAGACCAAACCTTTAGCACTTAAACGTATTCTTACTCGCATTTAGCAGCTTAGCTCGTTTAGCCTTTACCGAATCTTGTAGCAGTTTTTGTAGCAGACTCTCCCTGATCAGGATTTACCCAAAAGTCAACGAGAACTGGACTATTTGTAGGTTCAGTTTTCTCACCATTAAAGAGAAAACATGTTTAATGAGGAGGAAGATTGGAGTGACGATCAAGAGGGAAAGATCCTGAGTAAAACAGTCTTTAAACCGACCTCAAAAGCAGAATGCAGCACATATTTTAAGGTACAGTTACTCGCTTTCCTCTGTTTCCTCTCTTTTTTCCCATATATCTTGAGTGTTTGTATAGTAATAAAAGTCCAGTCTGGAGTAAGAATACATATGATTGTTCTTTATGCCTTTGCTAGTCTGACGTTATTGGGAAAAAGAGTCTGCTGAGGACTCTGGAGACACTGGGATCAGCTCCAGACTGGAAGAGCAGCGAGCATGAGGAGCAGGGCAGCGAGAGTGAGACAGAAGTCACCTCCTCACCCAGCAAGAAGAGGAAGAAGAGGAGGAAAAAGAGGAAACATGGAGCGCAGGAAGGTGGAGACCAGAGTCAAGCTGCCCAGGAGGAGAGATCTACAGTGAAAAAGAAGAAGAGTGAAAATAAACCTGGTTAGTAATTCAGAGAATGAGGCCCTATTTAATGGTTCGGATATAACATCTTTGGAAAAAGTGGCATGATTTCTGATGAATCCAAAAAATGTTGATAAAGTACATGAATTCAGTATGAGAAGGAAAATAACGTGTAAAAAAGGGTGAACACTATTATGGTTATTTTGTGTACACTTTTATTTAAGCAGTTTAAAAATGAGTAAATATCAAAGCTGTTTAGACAGAAGACTTTAAGTCATGTTCTGTTGGACGTGTAGGATTAGGGAGCTGTCTTGCTCTCAAACTACTAGATCACCACTTGCAATAGTTACTGAATAGCATAATAATATTTATATGATTTACTCAAACGCCCAACAAATGATCTTTATTTAAAACTTTAGTGGAGGATTTTTGTGAATTTTTGAAAAGACATGCCCTCTACATCTTTAAAAAAAAATGAACATACAAAACCCTGTACCTGCTCCCAAGAGGGAACAGCTATTAAACGCGTGCAAGAGCATGCATGAGCCCATTTCTCCTCGTACACGTTGTGTTTAAAAGTTGCTGTTTGCATCGCTCATACAAGCTTACTTTCCAAAAGAAGATTTGCAATTTTTTCACTATGTCAGACTCACCACCAGTAAGTGAAAATGGGGACGAGCACAAAGGACGGCCTTACGAAACGTATCAACAGAATCAATGAGAATTAGGAGGACCACTTATGTTGATGATGCAACGGAAAATGAACATCTTCAACTATACCTTTGATCCTCTATAATTTAGTGAATACATTCTTAATAAATGAGTAGTTGTCTATTTATTTAGCTCTGAGGTATTTTTGTTCCTGGAGAACTTACTCCTTTAAAAGCAGCCAGAGAGGTCATATGGAATTAAATAAAAAAAAGTGTGACTTATATTCCCTTCAAAATAAAACATCTTTGGTGTTTAGTGATTTAATCCTCATGCATCATGTCAGATTTTTTTTTTTTTGTCTATAGATAGTTGAAATGATGAACAAAGCAAAAAACTTCCTCTTCCTTTAGGAAAAATGATCGCCATGGCAATAGGAGGAAGCCTCAAAGTGCATATTTATTTATCGGAATATAAATCATTAATGAAGGGATATATAGAAGATTATCAAAATATATATTTAACACAAAGAGTGATGCTGCTACTGTTTTATAATAAGGAGATTTAGTGTGACAAACAGTCAGTGCATTTGATAGAAAATTCAAATCATATCCTTAACACTTATTTAACATAAAAATAATAATGTTTGCAGCATTAAATCAAGATAAAAAAATATCTGGAAAGATATACGTTAAAATTACAGGCTATTATCATTAATAATAATTGTTGTTAACAAGCTAAAATAATACATAATTTCAATATATCATAAGACCTTAAAACTGGTTCATGACTTCATATAAAAGAGCAGAAATGCAGTTGAACATGTTATTTATTTCAATAAAGCTTGCTGTGAAATGGCTGTATGAGAAGTATTTACAGGAACATAGGGAAACTTTTTTTTAATTAAAAAGGGTATACCTAAAAAAAATAATAATGTATTTGGTAAAGGAACAGTGAAAGTGTTTGCCATCTATGCTTTCAATATTACTTGAAATCTCAAAATGTGAAACAGACTTAATGATTTCCTTCCCTGATGCTTTCAGCTTGAGGGATTGTTCTTCTATTTATGTCTTGCAGATTTCTGACAAGGTGAAACAATGAGTGGTGGTTAATTAATTAAATGAAAATGCAAATTAAGCTTTTTTGTGTGTTGAGCTCAGTTTTATTTTCTAATTGAACAAAAAAGTTATTTAACAATTATATAAAAACAATCTTTGATTGCTTAAATCTCAGTCTGGAGCCAAAAGTGCTGGTAGGGACATTCTCCACCAACGTGATTGATAAATTAGTATTAATCTAATAATGGATCTGATCTGACGGGTACCTGAGCTTTACCGTAACATTTTAACACTTCACTTCAGTCAGCATAAAAACACGTTGCAGCACAAATAAGTTGCCCTCGCTCTGTTATATAAGTGATCTGAGGCTTGAATTTTATTGAGTTAAGTTATTGATTCTGGTGGAAACTATGACGTTAAAAAATCTATGAATCCAGTATTAAAAAGGCCTCTTAGCTGCATCGAGATTAATGGCTCCTCCATTTAAAGAGAATCCATCTCTGATGCTTTTCTTTTGTTATGTCTCAGCCGAAATGAGCTTAGATTCAGGATAAGTTCACGAATACTACCGACCAGAGCTGGTTCACAAAGTAACTTGCTGTTTAAACCTGACTCAGGATAACAACTGGAGGACTTTCTCACAACAGAAATCCAGGGTATGCAGGGATTTATGCCAGAACTTATTCTATGTTCTCACTCATCCTGATTTCTGAACCGTGGGGAGTGTCTGTTATCAAAAAGTCACATATTGCATTCATCTTAACAGAGCATGTGATTTCTGGTTAAAGCCTCAATTGAATTTGGCAACTGAACTGTGCATCTTTCTGTTTATAATGAGGGAACCTAACTGTTTTGATTTTGGTTTTTACAAGCATTGCAAATAATTCTTAAGATTTTTTTCACCAAATAACATGTTTATTTAAATCCACTTGTGAATTTCTTTAATGCAATTTTTATGATCTTTTATGCATTAAAAGGTCAGCTTATTTAAAAGCTCTTTGTAAAAAAATTAAAACAAAAAAAAGGTGGAAAACATAACATAGACAATTCACACATCTAATTGTGTCTTTTTATATTCTTTGCATCTATAATTAAACATTTAGAAAAATTTCAATTTTCTCCACCACGCCTGAGTAAGAATTTATTCATCTGTTTTGTTTCTTTTTGAAGGAGCCTCAAAAACACAAAGGATATCTGCGAAGGAGACAAAAGGTGAAAAAGTCCCAGAACCTCCACAGGAGAATGCAAACAAACAGCAAGGCAACGAGAAGCTGAGCAGAAAGCAATGGAAAAACAAGATAAAAAATAAAAAAAGATGCAAAAACAAATTCCGCCAAAGTAAACCCGAAGAAGATGCAAACAGAGCTAAAACCACAGATAAACAGGAACCAGCAGAAGAGATCAAAATAGATCCACATAAAAGCAACAGTGAAAACATCAGCCAGACGGCAAACCAGAAACAAAAGAAGGGAAAGGAGAGGAAACCAGTGAAAAGAAAGAAGCCGGAACAAGAAGCACATGGATTAACCACAGCAGTAGAGAAAAAACAGCTAAAGTTGGAGAAATTAAAAGGTGCAAATTCTGCCAAAAGTGCATCTAAAGGTTCCACTGAGGGATTTAAACATAAAGAGGATGAACTCAAGGTGGAGATCTCGCATAATCAGCAGAAGTTTCCCCCCCAAAAACAGAAAAAAGAGCTGAGCAAGGAGCAGATTTTAAAGAGAGAGAAGCTGCAGAAAATACTCATCAGCCAAGAAAAGGAGAACGACCAGGTTGGAGCAAAAGATGCCGGCACGGCGGCGGTCCGAGAGGAGGTGACACAAGACCGCTCGGACTCCCTCCGGTCCCGCATGGAGCAGCGCCTGGAGGCGGCTCGTTTCCGCTACATTAACGAGCTTCTGTACAGCAAGTCGAGCGGCGAGGCCAGGCGCATGTTTCAGCAGGATCCGCAGGCCTTCTGGGTTTACCATAAAGGTTACACAGCTCAGGTCCAGAGGTGGCCGGCCAACCCGGTGAACGCCATCATCTCCTACATTCAGAAAAAGTGAGACAACTTTCATCTTCGTTTCGAAGGCAGATATTCGTTTGTTGTAACAAATCTAACATGCTATCTCAACCCCACATTAACAAGGCACCGTTTTTAAGTACAATTAATTCAGATTATTTTCTTCATCATTATGTAGAAGCAGTTGGCCTGTTAAGATGAAATACTTCCTTCTTTAGTAAAGATTATTTGTGTTAAAATCTGTTTTAATTTTTTTCTAATCTATAGATAATTCTTCTACATCTATTTATATCTGCTCTTAGTCTGTTCAGTTGCTGCGCAAGGATGAATAAAGTGATTCTATCCTACTGTAATGTGTTACAGACCAACTAATCTGGTAGTGGCAGACTTTGGCTGTGGTGACTGTAAAATTGCGAGGAGCGTGAAGAACAAAGTGCACAGCTTTGACCTGGCTGCCACCTGTGAACTCGTCACTGTGTGTGACATGGCCAAAGTGAGTCCCTCTGCATAATAGCCTCCAACCTGTGTGCTCCATGTCTCCGTGAATCAACATGCGGCGTATCTGTGCAGGTGCCTCTTGATGATAGCTCTGTGGACATCGCTGTGTTTTGTCTTTCCCTCATGGGGACCAACCTGGCAGAATTCCTAGCAGAAGCCAACCGCGTCTTGAAAATGAGGTAAAATGGGGAAAAAGTTGATTCATACATTTTTTTCTGAGCCTTGCAAACATATTTAAACCACTTTAACACACTTAAGTATTTACTGTAAAAGATCAACACAAAGCTCTGCAATAGGAAAGGATGGATGGTTTTTGTTATCAAAAACACCCGACAGGTTTGGCGTTCATTTGTTTTCAGTCTATAGGGTCTTTTCACATCTAAATGTTTCTGCCCGATGCATTTACCTAAAGCTTAGTCACCTTTAATAAAGTATTGGTACAGATTATTTGGATTCAGGTTCATATTTTGAATAAGTAAGAGTGTTTCAGAAAAAAAGAGAGAGATAGAGAGATAGAGATAGAGAGAGAGAAACATAAAGAAACTGTCAAATTAAATCATGTCGAATTGTTTCACTTTTTCATTGCAGGGGCGTCCTGAAAATTGCAGAAGTAGCGAGCCGATTTGACAATGTGGACAGCTTCATCTCTGGCCTCACAGGTCTAGGATTTAAGATGACGTCGAAGGTCAGGTTATTTATATGATCAATATTTATATATTTAACTATATTTGAATATTTAAATATAGTTAAATATTTATATATTTCAATATATTATATGGAATACATTTTATTGTATTTTATTTATTATATTTTATTATAAAAAACTGAAATGTTAGAACTGTAAATATACAATCATGTGTTTAAATTACAGTTTTTATGTATTTTTTTACTGTTTTCTAGGCTGCACTTTACAAAAAGGAAATTGTCTAGAGATCAATAAGCTTAGACTTCATTACTATGACGTTAAATGTACTGAAGGCATGCAGTGTGCATCACTGGCTGCATGTGGCAGGAAACTACAGGTTAAACAGAGCATCCTGTGGAATCCGTTTGCAGAGAACAGTTTGGTAAACAGTGCTTGGAGAGAACCTGCAGGACCTTTTCATCAAGATTTTAAGGAATGTGAATATCTGAAGTTGGTGTATTTAGGTGAAGCTGCAGAAATAATTTGTATTTTTGTCTCTCTTTTTTTTTCTTTCAGGATACAGAAAACAGCCATTTCTTCTCCTTTGAGTTTGTGAAGACGAGAAATGCTCCAAATAACGTGAAGAAATTTGGACTGGAGTTGAAGCCTTGTGTGTACAAGAAAAGATGATATTAGGGAAGAGCTCATAAGCATTGATGCATGTAAAAAGATTTTAATCAGCAGGTAATTTGACCATAGCTGTATTATTTCTTTAATGCCGCCGTGCAGATTACAGATTTCCTTTTTTTTTTTTTTTTTAAGAAAATGACTACATTAACTCCACTATATGTTTAGCTCCTTACCAACATATTACTACTTTGCTTTTATTTATTTGGATCAATTCTTTCTAACAACAAAGATTCTCAGACCACAGGAACAAACAAGACGAAGCATCCTTCACCTTTACTTGAAATGCTATATAATGTTATAACTAACATTCATAAGAGACTTTTCAAGAAAGAGTTTGCAGATTTTAAATTGGCACGTTTATAACATTTAAAAATATCCAGAAACTGTAAGAATAAATGTCTGCCATGTATTTTCCTTCTGTTTAAGTTGCAGTCCTGTATTCAGTTTTCTTGTTTTGACCTGTTTAAATAAGGCATTCAGTGTAATTCTAAAAACTGTTTCATCCCGTTCTGTTTTATATGTACTAAAAATGGGGTTTTAGGTTTTGTTTTGTGTTATAAGCACAGTTTTTACAAGTCATTAAAAAGGAGCTTTCATAATAACTTCTACTATTGTCAGTTTCATAATTTATTTTTTGTAGCCATATTTTAGGTCATGTGGGGAAGTTCCATAAATTCTTATCATTTTTGTACCGATTTATCTGCATAGTGCAATAACTGCGATACTACAGCCTAGTTAATTTTAATATTTTTTTTATTAAACTTTATTGATCTCACATTAGAAAAATTTACCTCTGCATTAAACCCATCCCCTTTGGGAGCAGTGGGCTGCCATCATGGGGCATATGGGGAGCGATGCGGGGTTAAGGTCTCTTTCTTAGAGACCCAGAATGGCAGTCTGGGTCGAACTCAGAACCTCTGGATTCCAAGCTCTATGCCCTAACCACTAGGCCGCCAAGATGCAAGCCTTGGATTAGCTTGCATCTTACCGGCCATAGAGAAACGATTATAAGCGTGTCACTGCACCATATTTTGCATCAATGGAATAATGTGTAAAACTGCATGAATATCAGAAAATAGAAACTCGTGGAATAATTGTCATCAATTGGTTTTATTGATTGTCATGTATAAAAAATATTACAAACAAAATGCAAAGTTCATGTAAGGCTGAAAAGTGCGAAAACTCACTGCTTTTTAAATCATTAATGCCAGTCAGCTACAAAGTTCAGTGCATGGTCGGTTTCATTTGAAATGCTACATAAACACACAAAACGGTGCTGCATTAAGATAAATGCTGGGTCAAGCTGATTATTTGTAAGGTCCTCTGAGGGACACCTTTTATCTCTTCACACTGTACTCTTGGATTCAAAGACGATGGAGAAGCTGGTAAGCTGAGCGTGCTCCTTACAGTTGGACATGTCTGCTCCAGGCTTCCTGACCTCAGGAGAGCCAGGCTCCTGCATGAGACTCGTCAAGGCTGAGATAGACTCCCGTTCCTGATTTGTGAATATTTAAAACATATTTTTTGAACAAAGCTTTATAAAAATGACTTATAAATATTAATAATAAAATATCTGAATATACCTTATGTGGAGTCTTCTTTTGTTTACTGCAAAACCAGAAAAAAAAAGTAATTTCAAACCACCTGTAATATCTTAATTATCTTTTATTTTTTTAATTTTTGTGTAACTTTTGATTATCTTTTTGCTCATTTGATGCACCCTGTTGTACAGCACTTTGGGCAAATGTAGCTGTTTTTAATATGTGCTATAGAAATAAATAAACATTGACATGTTTACTTGTCTATTTTCTGCCACTAGATGGCAGTGTGGTATAATTATAACCTCAGAGAACTATAGCAAACTAATAACTTGTAGATGTGAATCCAGTGCATGCAGCATGAATACAGGATTGAGTAAATTCTCTATCATTAATCCCTGAGAAGCAGCTTGCTTATTCCTTAAACTCCCCAGGGACAGAAGAAGGACCTGCACTGTCATGTTCTCCTCAGCGAGTGTGGAAGGTCAGGTGGCCTGAGGTTATCTCAAAATAACTCTTGAGGAGTCATGTTTTCTTGTTGTTCACAGGGTGACTGACCTTCCAGAATTAGCCTGACAGGACTGTGTCACTTATAATGAGACTGAGGCTGTAAGTGGAAGAATGTTAGGAGTCGCTGGCCTATTCAAACAAGTTGAAAACCTCTGTGGTTTGCCTCTAATGGGAGGCATAGTTTGAGCCTCACAAATCACTGGCAGGATCCAGTGAGAAAATAAAGCAATAAACAGTTTTTAGCACCGTTACAGATAGCCCTCCTAAGTTGTAAAAGATGTGAATCAACAACCTTTTCCAGCAGTAGCATTAAAAATTCATTCGAGAATTTTTTTTTAAGACTGAAGTACAGCAGCTTGAATTATACAGTAATAACATAGAAACCTATGAATTGTGCAACTTGGCAGAGACTATAATGGACCAAAACTGAACAAACTTAAAACTTCTGAAAGGCAGAGCAGGAAACTAGTCGATAAATCTGTTTTATAACTGCACAATTTCTACCTATGTACAACAAGCGGGACTGTGGTGGCAAAGGCACCTGTCTGCCTCAGCCACAGTTTTCCTGTTTGTGAATAACTACACTGAGGTGGTTGGTTATTGACTTGGGTTAACGATCCTCACATCCTGTTTGTCTCACACTGAACGCAGTTGGCAGCGATGCCCTCATTTGCACATCAGTGCATCACCTGCTGAGCTGACACCTTGGGAACTAACTCACCAGCAGCACACATAGAGGATGACGATGAAGACGATAAGGACAGCCGAGGCGGAAGAGATGCAGATCAGGATTACCAGCACTGCCACACAGAAGCACTGATATCAGACATCCTAACAAAGCCTCAAACTCTTAACACTCTTCAGCATGCAGATAGCATCAGGGCTCCTTAACTAAACATGTCAGGGAGCACAAACACTTACTAAACTGTTCGCCCTCTCTCAAGACTTCCACTTGAATGTCGACAGTAGCATTGTGGTGATAAAAAGAAGCCAAACAGCAGTAGAGGCCTTTAGTCTGGCCTGAAGGGTCCGAATGAAGGATCATGGTGTCCCCATCCATTGGAACAGTTGAGCCATCACTCCTACAACACAAGTGATGATATGATTTAGGCTAAGATTTAGAGTTTAGTAAGAACATATTTATATGTCTGGTGGCTAATTAACAGTATAACAAAACAGAATTGTAAAATGATGTATCTAAACTAGAAATGCAGGCTAAACACGAGTTAAGTTACATTTAAGAGTTTAGCGCAAAACGGCTTTGAAACTCAACCTTTTTATGTTTTTTCCTAAATGCTTAAATGCAAATGCATGGCAGCAACCTGTGCACGATGTGGTGCGATCAGATGGTAGCACATGCTACAGATTGAAATAACCAGTAATGTGACAATAGAGAGGTATTTTTTTTTCCAAATGCATTGAGCCAAAAGGCAAATAAGCAAAGGCTTGGTTTAGGTGGTGCTATCTACTGAGGTTTTACCACTGCACCTTCGACATTCAAGGCTGTAATCTGGCATGTTTCCTTCCACTCTGAGCAATACTTTCTGGTTGGGTTGATTCTCATTGACAGAAACTCTGTATACAGCAGCTTGATCAGCATGGTGGTTCTTTAGAGCACTTGTGTTGTTCAGGACCTTTACAGAGGAGATATCTGCAGAAACATTACACAAACATCAAGAGTCTTTAGAAAATCAATCCACCTGTGTTCTTATGACCCTAGTTGCACTTACAATATTTTGGTATGGGAATAGTTTTCCTTTCTGTGATCCCATTATCAGATTTATACACACAAGTCAGGCCCTGTCCCTCATGGAGGAACAGAGGAAACTGATAAGTCAGCTTGGCGTTCATTATGTGTCCTTTGTATTCTGTGTGCAAGGTTGTTTCATTTCTGACATTTTCAGGAAGGTCCCATGCAAGGTTTGTCCCAACACCCTCCCCTTTACAGTCACACACTGCAAGCCAGAGAGGGGAGTGTTTCTGTCGCACCACAGACACACTGACATGAGGGGGTTCTGAAAAGAAAACAGCAATGGAAAAAAACAAGGTGAGGAGCTGATTTGGGATTTATTTTTCAAAGTAGATAAAAAAAAAGAGTAATCTTAGAAAAAGCAAACATACTGTTCACTGGAATGTGTATGGTTCTCTTTTCTGGATTCACCAAACTGGGGTGTTTCACAATGCAAGTGAGATTCTGACCGGCATAGAGAGAAGACTTAAAATGCACAGAGCTGTGGGTTGATACCAGACCCTCAGTGTGGAAATCGGTGTTCATCGCATAACTGATGTCATCTTTGTTTCCAGCACGCCAGCTTATAGCTGCAGCAGAGGCGACACTGACCACCAAGCAGATCACCGTTGAGTATTTGTGACTGTCTTTCCACTCAGAGCTAAGGGTGATGGTTACGTTTGGTCGAGCTTTATGTCAAAAAGAAGTTGAAAACAGGAAATGAGGTGTTGACTTTGAGTAACTGATAGAATCCATGGTACAGAAACATGGACAAATAAGCGTTAGGTTAAATATTGACTGATTTGTAGAACATACCGCAATGTGAGAGTATTATACTTCTGTTCTCTGTTTCCTTAAATGTAGGGTGATTTATCACACACACTGCTGTGAGCTCCAGAGGCAAGCATGCAGGGAGGAGTAAAACAGTGTGGCTTCCATTATTGAAAGTGGAATTGGACCAAAAGTCTTCGGAAACACCTTCAGGTAGACTCCAGGAAACGCTGGCTGCAGGAACAGCGCCAGTCGCCGAGCACTCAATCATTGTGAATTCACCTTCGCTGTGAGAATCGACCCTGATTGTGGGAGAAACTGAAAGAAAGAATGTGGCCAGAAACGTTCCACATCAAAATTTAGGAGTAATGTCATGCTGGCGTCATAAAGAATACAATTTAAAGTCAAATAAATCTTTATACCAACCCATCTGTGGAGGTTGAGCTTGAACTGTAATGTTGACCTGCATTGTTGCTTTCAGATGGTGGTAGGAGCAGTCACACTCATACAGACCAGAATGCTGAAGCGTTACCGGACCTCGAATTATTAGATCTCTACCAATCAGCTTCACGTCTTCAGGCAAGGGCCTGTCATCTCTGCAGGACGAACGCAGAAAGTAATTTTTCTGTTTTAAGAATTATTCCAATTAACATGACAGATAAAGATTTGGTTAAAAGTGAAATCAAAGTGTTAAAATATGATAGAAATGATAACAACTGTGATGCACCTAAAGCACAGAGATAGTAGTATAGTGGTCCATATATATATGTATATATATATATATATATATATATATATATATATATATATATATATATATATATATATATATATATATATATATATATATATATATATATATATATATATATATATATATATATATATAAAATTATGCATTTAAGATAAAAAAAACCTGGTTTAATTTAGTAAAAAAGACTTTGCTATCTGAATCAAAAAATAATCGACAGATTAATTGATTTGGGAGTTAATCGTCATTTGCAGCCCATATATATATATATATTTATATATATATATACACAATCTTTTATGATGCCGTGAGAAATAAACTAGTTAATATTAAAATAACTTTTTTTTTTAAAAACACCATAATCTGGTTCCTCCTGTCTGACGCTTGCGGTTTGATGCCACCAAATGTTTCACCACTTCCTACTCAAGCTGTCTAGTTTGTTTCAATTTAAATGTGTGAATGTGAAAAATAAGCATCAGTGTGAATTTCGCCTGAAAATCTCCTTTTTCATCTTTGCATTACACTCTGGATCTGAAAAAAAGATCCTACAAATATAATGAGTAGCAGGCAGAACTCTCTGCAGACTGGTAATAAAAAAAAAAAATAAGCCTTGTAAATGTAGATGTGATAGACTGTCCTTTTTAAAAAAAAGATTTTAATCGATTTTAACTGCTGAAAAACAGCTCTGTGACATCATGACCTCTAGTTGCTTGTGTCTACTTAACGTGTTGTCAAAACAGAAGCTTTTTGCATTGTTATCATCAAAGTTTAATCTGAAATGCAATCTGTGACGTGTGATTTTTATGAAGTGCCTCTTCATTGCAAAAAAAAAAAAAATCATACTTTTTGCAGTCAACAATGTAGCGTGGCACATTCCCTGTGACCTTCAGGGTGAAGACTACGTCTCTGTCTCCTTCCTGCAACTCTAGAAATTCTGTGGAATTGAAGCCGTTGCTGCTGTTTCCCCCTTCAAAGGACAAATGAACTCCAGACAAATCTGCAGATGAGACCAAAAAAAGTTATGTCTGTTTTACCTCATTAGAAAAAGCACTTCTGATCTCTATACTCACAAAAAGTGGGCAGGGTAATGTTTCGAGACTCAGGGTGTGAGAACTTTGGGTGTCTAAACACACAGGTGATGCTGTGGCCCTCGTGTTCTGCCACAGCCAGCCGGACGGAGAGACTTTTCATGTCTGAATTTGCAGTTTTATCTCTTTGCACCTCTTCATTCCCGTTCAAAGCCAAGGAAATGTCAGCCTCAGGTCTCCCTCCGGATGAAATGCAAGAGACCACCCAGAAATCATTTCCTCCGTGTTCTACCATCTCTGCTTTAATCGTCACATTTGGCCTCACTGAGAAGCAGGAAGAAAAAGGAAGGAAGAGTTATTCTTACTTAAACTGTTAATGTTTTCTCCAGTAAATTAAAAACTCAGAGAGGCTCAGTTGTGTTTTTGTTGAATAGGAAGCTGGGGGAGGATGAACCATGAGTTGCTCAAACAAGGACCAAAGGGGGGGCTTCTGCTTGTGTTTTGGATTGCGCACTTATGGGCTTATCACCTGTCCCATCTGGTATCTAAGCTGCTGCTGAGAGCAGATATCTGGAGCAGCTGCCGTCCAACCAAAGCCAGGAGAAACCAGAAGCTTTGATACCAGGAATCAACCGAATTGGAGTCTATCATCAAATATATTAAACTAGTTTAATGCAGTACTTTGATATCTCTAATGAGTAACAAAGGTAAGCCAGCGCAGCATAACAGCTTGGGTGTTTGGGAGTTCACTCATTTTAGCCTTAAAATGTCCTGTCTATTAACACCTCGAGTTATGTGTGATACAACCACAGCAGTCAGAAAATGACTTCATCCGCAGCGTTTCAGGGAAGTGTAAATTTATTGTAGAGAAACGAGCTGCTCGGTGAGGCTCAGCCTTGCCATACAGCATGCCATAAAAACATTGGCTTTAGCAATTTGGAAGCTTTGCATGGATTAAAGTGCGGATAGGAAAGCCTATTTGGAAGAAGGTTTTAGAAGTCATATTTCACTGTTCTTAATGCAAGACAACCACAGAGTGTGACTCAGAGATTTATGTTACATTTTTTCACATCATAACCATAAACTTTATTCTATCAAGTCAATATTTTGTGTTACAGATCAGAGCAAAGTAGTGCCTTGCTGTGAATTATAAAAAAAGAGATACACTGGCTTTAATTTTCTTTTTTTCAGCCCCATATTAGTACCTGTGTACTGCTTAAAGGGAATGATCCACAAAAAAACCAGTTAAAGCTGCAAAAGGCTAAAGACTGGAGCTAAGATTCATACTCCAAGGACAACACAATTAAAAATACAGCCAATATTACAATCAAATGATTCAGATCAAGATATAATCATGTTTCTAACATGGACCAGTTAAAGTCCAGACCTAAATCTAATTCAGAATGTGTGGAGATACTTGAAAAAATTGGCAAGCCATCTGCACCTAATTTGAATAAGCAAAGCTAATCTTATTCTTTTCCTTCCTCTTCTTTATCCTGCACTGCATTATGTAGGTGCACAACAACACGATCTATAAATGAGTAAGAATTCCTTAAAATAAGTGTTTTCACCCATAATTTGAGGAGGTACAGTAAATAGAAGTAGCTGTCAATGAAATTAGTGTTTTTACCAAAAATGATGCACTTTGAAATAAGACTGCAATTGTTTTATTTTAAATTTAATTTGTCTTATTCCTTTAGTTAAGTGGGTAACTTACTTGTTCAATACAAGTAAAAAAAATCCACTTATTTTTAAGAAAAAAAAAAACATACTTTTTGCAGTTAAATTTGGATACATAGATTTATGGGCTTGTATTTCACAAAATATAAAAAGCTTTTAAAGGACAGCCTTGTGTTTTTTTTTATCTTGATTAGGAATATTTCATTGCCAGATAGTTGAGCCACAGATTTTCTGCTGCAGTGGGCACAATAATCTGGGTTTGCTGTTTATCATTGCATTGGGATATAAAGTGGTACAGAGGCATAACTTCCCTTTGCGAGTGTGTGCGCAGAGTAACTGTTGATTGTGAGATTACCGCCAGCTTTGAGGATTCAGATATTTTACATTTTTGAGGGTTAGCATTACAGATGTGCACAACAAAGCATGTCTTTAATCAAGCATAACTTCCATGTTTTCTTCCTCTGATATATCTTTAATGGCTGTAATAATGCTAGACTTCCTCTTTTGGTTTGGCTTTCTTTTGTGTGAATCCTTGGCCCCCTAATTTCACAAACTGCACCTTTCATGCAGACCCATTAATGATCAAGAAATCAGATTCTGGGGGACAAGGACATTCTGGGTTTTTTTTAAGGTTGAAAAGACAAGATTAGTTGCCTGGGAAATTAGTTTTTTTTAGAGCATTCATCAGCAGAATAATACATTTTTTAATTTAGTTTTTTCTCTTAAAAAAAGCTGCTCTTGAACTTTGTATTTGTTAGGGATGACCATAATATTAGACTGTAAATAAAGAGAGAATGCTGACAGTCTGCAAAAAAGATCATTGAATTGTCTGGTGCATGTAAAAGAATAGAATATTTTAAAAATGTAAAAAAAAAAAAAAAATGTATCGCATTTTAAGAAATGAAACTTACATAATATAGATCAGTTGAATACAAATTTGTCTTTCTTATAATTAATATTTACAGTAAATTAAAACCCCATAATTCAATGTGTCAGGGACTTTGGAGAACACCAGAAAAATAATCCCAGTGGGCCTTTTCGTGAAGGGTTTAGATGAGTGTCTACATTATAGCCTCAAGACAAAGGATAACGTAAGATACAACTTCCTTTAAACATTCATAATAAAAGCATTATGTATATTGACAGAAATCTAAAGCTGGATGTATAATCACTGAAGGTTTTAAAATAACGCCTACAACAATAAAAATATTTATACTACATATGTTTTTTTGTCTTAAAAAGATACAGAAGTATTACTTATTACCGGTAAATTACGCTCTGACTTTTAAACTTGCAACAATGAACTGACAAAGACAGTTGCAGAAACATATCCTAAAAAAAAACTGTGCAGAGATTCCTTTTAATTTGTTATCATTGTTTACCTTTAAAAACAAAAGCCATATATGTCAGTCAGTTTGGTACAGAGTTTAAAGTTTAAAGCATATAAATATAATAATCAAGTGTGTTAAGCAAGTCAAGAATTGATTTTTTTCTTCCTAAATGCTCTGTGCTTGACATGAGATATTCTCTTAAAGTAGCAAACATTGCAAATAATGATTTCAATATTATAAAAATGAATGAATAAAGCCAATCTTTGAACAAAGTATTCTGTCTTCAGACCCCCCTCCCCCATTCACTATCAATCAAAATGAATCCTTTACCATTACCTCAGATCCCACAGACCACAACTGTTTTATATAGTTCATGCTTGATCTAAATGATTCCACTCATTACTGTAGTTAATCTAAAAAGTTATTTGCACATAATTCAACAGGTTTTCGTGCGCATCATCCTTCAATTTGCAGGCGCACAAACCACACATCAACACTCTGCTTTAAATCGGTATCTTCAAAGTTCATCAAAGTCCTGCACTGCGCCATATCATTTTAAAAACTTCCATTCTTCTTTGGATCTTGTTCGCTTTGCTCAAATTCACTGAAATACTGCATTCCCACATGAATGCCCTACACTACACAGTGTGATTTATGGTCTGTCCGTGTGTATGTGGAGCAGACTGAAAGGGAACAGCAGGAGAAAGTTAAAGTTTTGTAATTTGCTGAGTCATGATGCTGGTGATGCAACTCCTCCTGGAAAACGAGCTATAAAGGCTCAAATGTTGCTGATTTGGCCTTACCGTAGGTTTTCACCCTTGTTGTGGTGCTTTTTGGGCTTGGAAGGGTCTCATGTTTGACAACACAGGTCACACTGTCCTCCTCCTGGAGATGGGTGGGGAAGCTGAGGATGCTGTGCAGCGTGGAGGTGCTGTTTGAGTGGAGAGTTTTACTCTCATTCACAGTGAAGGGGAAACCGGAAGGCGGTTGCCCACCGACCAGCCAGCTGATGTGAGGCGTTGGTTTCCCTCCAATGGCTGAGCATGACACCATCTGGTAATGAATGTCATTTATGGTCTCTGAATTCACCATTATCTGTATATCTGGTTTAACTGGGGATATTAAAGAATAACATAGTTTATTATTAGTGCAGAATGTAGCTTTGATTCTTAAAGTGTCTCATAATGGATTTTCTACATTGAAAAAGAGATCCACTTACCATAAACAGTGACAAACACGCTGCCAAATGAATTTTCTTCCTTATCCTCAAACTCACAGAGGTACTCTCCCTCCGCCTCCACATTGGACACCCTCATCCTAACTGTGAGGTTAGTGGATGAGGGGGGTTTTGAGAAGTCATCAAAATGGCTAAATGATTTATTATTTGCGAAGCCGGCCAGTCGTTTGAATTTATTCAGAGAAATCTTGCGTTTCCACTCAGCTTTCTGGATGTCCTCTTTGCCCTGAAACTCACAGCTCAGGTACACATAATCCCCTAGAACTCCGGTGACGTTTTGAGCAATCACAGAAGTTGGTTCTTCACCTGAACCTGAGACACAGCATTAACATGCTCAGTTATCATCAACGGTCAAAAGTTCAACTGAGCACTCCTGATATTGCGAACACAGCCAGCAAAGTAGATCTGTCTTAATAGATGAAGTTACATTTGCCCCCAAAGGATCCTTAGATGACTATTTTGATTCTCAGCATAAATGAAACTGTGATAGTTGAGGCAACCTGCCTGGATTAATAAGGCGTTTTCTTGTTTACTGAAGTTTCAAACTGACAATAAAAGCAAAACTAGAAGAGCAAATGCAGACATTTTGAACCCAACTGGATGTTCAAGCATTACTATTAGCTAGCATTTCTTCATCTATGTGACAAACCAGCAGCAATGAACACTGATGAGACAACCACCTATTGGCCAGAACCATCCTTGGTTATCATAAAGACCAGACGCAGATCGGTGAACTGATAGTATGTCTGACAATACACTCAATTTGATTTCTTTGGTTGCCTCTCCAGCTGGCTAAATGCCAGGAAGAGTAACACCTGAAGAAAGCCTCAGCTTCATATTTAATCTCTGGACAAGAGAAATATTACCTTATTTCATTGGTTCTTTTTTATGTATGCCTATTTAACACATTTAACACAAATCACAGAATAATGTATATTTTACTGGAAAACTTCAAAATAAATGACAATTTTTTTGTGTTTGCAAACAGGTTTTATTTATTTTACCCCATAAACAAGTGATATGTGGAATATTAATCATGTAAAAACTGCATCCATTGTGTACTGTACTAAAAAGATGGTTTTAAAATGGGTGGCAGTTCTTTCTCCAGCTGGCAGCAAGACTGTAAAGGTTCAAGCTGTATCTGTCAACGCTTAAGAGGCTGAGGACAAGAAGTGGACTCTGTTGCGCTCAGCTTTGATAAATGCTGCCTGGTTTTCACAATGTGTATTTAACTGACAAGTCCATTAAGTTAATGAAAACAACTCAGAAGTTATGTCGAGTTAGTATCCAGACAACAGAAACATTTTTCATCCACATGGTGCCCAAATCAGCCGGAGTTTGGTGGACATTTCAGAGGGAAAACTTTTTAATGGATGACGACAGACGTCAGCACTTACAGGCCTTTCCGCAATGCAAAGCCAGTCCACTTCTCTCTGCTTCCTCTGCTGACTTCATCAAGGTGTGCTTAAGGACACCATTTGTTTGAAGCCAAGAAGCCAAGAGCTTCTTCTCAGGTTTGTATAAACGATGAGTACAATAATGACAGCTCTGCGCTGCACTGTGTCATGGTAAACCCAAGGAATGTATCCAGCTCTGTTGCAATTGAAATCCAGCTGGGCTCCCTGTATATCACAGCTAATGGAAACAATGTGGAGTGCTTCCAAAGCCTTTAAGAGGAAAAAAATAAATAAATGCACTCTATCACTTCAGTAACGCCTTCTGGGTCCATTTGCCCTTGCAGGTTATTGCCAAAATAAATGTCAGCCAAGAATGGAAAAGCTGTGCCTTCAGGACACAAACAAGGTAATAACTGAGAAAAGAAAAACATGCATTCATTTAGAGCATCATATTTCCTGAAGCCCAGGGGGTTCTTTTTCTCACCAATTCAACAGCAACAATTTACCAGAGAGAAACAACAAGTCTTCCTCCAGCAGGCTGGGGGATGTGGTGAGCAAATAACTCTTTCAATGTAAGAATTCAGAGCTCTTCCTCACATTTAAACTTTCATCTCAGACTGAAACTCTCTGACTTTGCAGAAACAAAAGCTATGCATACCAGGGTCTTCAAGGGGTTTTTCCCATTACGCTGAAAAAAACACACCTTAACACCCCTCATATATTGGTTTTAATAGGCTGTAGAGAAATTACCGAGGTTTTTAGGTGAAACAGCTGATCAATAACAATAAACTCACCGGTAGAGTGGAAATGCAGCATGCTATCAAGAAAATATGGCAGAAAATGGTTCCATACACAATTAATCATTTCATTTTATAGGCTGTGTGCATTTATAATTTAACTGATCATTTAGGAAAAACCAAGCAGCCCCAGTGAATATAAATGCCACAGGTTAAATAAGACCTGAAGGTCCAGTAAAATAAGCCCATAAACAGCTGACAGCCACAGATGGACTGCAACTCTGCAAACTTACCCAGAATTTCCAAGGAATGTGCAAAATTTTGGAGAAGACCCAAAACCAACAGCCATGAGCATCTCATGATGGTGTCATTTAGCAACACACAGTTGGATGCACCAACTGTGTGTGAGGCACAGGGGTATTTAAAGTGTGTGTGTGCTTTCTGTGGTTCATGGTTATAGGTGCACACCCTTTACAGCTGATACTTACGTGCATGCCTGTTTGCCTACACTTGTAGAACCACTTCTGCTTTTTGTTTTTTCTTTGCCAAACAATACTTTAGCAAAGCTTTGCATGTCTCATGATTTTTCAGGTTTTCTAGCGCGATGCTTCTGGTCTGTTTCTCAGCCACCCTATCTAACAGGGCCCCTTGGGACGGAGGTAAAGCCATGTATCATCCATACCATCCTGTCCATGTTGGGGAAGCTCAGAGTCGGCCAGTCTGACAGCAGAGATGGTTTGCTTCTGCTTATTTCCTGTGTGCCAGGAAATCACTCGCTCGTGGTCATTATTTTATGAGTTAATGTTCCTCTAATTCGCTCCCATGATTCTTCTCTTTTAGACCCTTTTATTTTTTCATTAAGTTGTTTGAAAGAGTGTAAAGAATGTGAATGGGTAAGGCAGAGATTGGCAGATATAGACTGTGCCATCCTTTTTGACTTATAGTGATGAGTCATTCCAACCACAGCGAGCTGACAGTGACTGAAATGACCCCATAAAAAAAAATGCTGCCAACGCATATTTTACCATGTAGTCTGTAACGGCTTTTTGAATGATCTCTTCTGAAACCAGGAGGCACAGTTCAAGCCTCTGCAGCATGAGAATCTGGTTTCACAAAAAGGAAATACTATGATTCAGACACATTTTGATGCACCCACATCCACAACTAGAGTTTCCATTTAGAATACATACAGTAACATCACAGCGTTAACATTATAGGACATTTGCAGCTTAAGTATAGCAGTCATGTCTCTCAAAAAGAAACTTGTTCGCATGCACACCTGCACATGAGTGTTTTAATTGCATCTGGAAATTAAGGAGAGTGAATATATCTCTAGATTTAGACCTTCCTTTGAAACAACTTGTGTTTCAAAGGAATGTTTAAGTTGCCTTCAGGTTTTGAATCAAACAGATTTGGTTGATTTTACATCATGAAGAACCAGGCATGTACGGGATAATGTTGCAGAGAGGTCAGAGACAGAGTAAGGGAAGAAAACAATAGCCCAAGCAATGATGAAGAGCAATCAGATGCCCTCCAACCAGTGGGGATGAGTATCGGATGTTTTTACAAGACAAGACAGGTAGGTGGGTTTCAGTCCCTCGATGTGCAAGAGTTGTAGAGACAGACCTCGGAGGATTGTAGTTATAACTGCAGTGAATCATTGCTCAACAAAAAAAGTAGATATTTTTTACTGCAGGAGGGATGACAAATCAAAACCCCACTTTTTATGTCTTCATCAAAAAAAAAGAAGAATGAACTTTGATCACATCAGCAATTGTTTGCTAATATGCTGTTGTTTTTAAAATTCCAATAAGAAACCTTGATAGATGGCATGATGTGACAAAAAAAGGACTGCAGATACATTTTAAGTCGTAACACATTCAAAGGTTTAAGGGTTTTCTTTGCAACACTAAATTACTTCAAGTCTTGTGCTCTGATTTATTTCTGAGTGTGAAGAATTGAATCTCCGGAAGGTAAAACTCAGAGCAACATTTCACGCAACATTGAATTTTGAGGTCAAGCTCTTGACGTGTTCTCGTGTCTGTCTCTTGAAATCATGCGGACCTGGACATGCAGTTAATATTTCCTGCTAATCAAATGATCTGATGCGGATATTCCCAGTAGGTGGGTGGAGGTGGCTGGAAATGTAAAAGAATCTGGAAACGTTCATTCTTATCCGTTTGTATCATTTGCAGACTTTGAGCTGATTCATTTTACATCACAATGAAACGCTAACATCCCCCTGACAAGGTATTTACAATTTTTCACAGATGTATACCGGTAACAGGTTTTCCTTTCGCTCTGCTGTCTTACTCTTTACTATTCCATCTGTAGATTCACATCTGGAAAAATCAGCTGAACAAACACCAACAATAACTCATGTACAGCAAATAGACCAGTGGAGGTTCCTGTGAATGTTTACAGTTTAACCTATCTTTTTCCCCCTTATCTTTCTGCAGAGGAGGAAAATCTTTGATCAGCAGCACTATCTCTACCAGCTGTTGTTCATTTACACCAGAGCTATCATCAACAACTCTACCTCTCCCACTCTCAGACTGAGGAGGCACAGCTGAAGTGATACAACTCCGACTCTAAACCTGATTAATATGACACGCTCAATCTGAGTCGCATACCAGCACTGGCCTGTGACTCTGCTGGTATCTGTGCACCAAACAAAGAAAGAAGTCCAAATATAAGTGGAATCTGCATGCTGTGTTCTGCAGAGTATGATTGAAATACAGACAAGCAGATGTATTCTGGTTTCCAGTTACAGGTGAGTAATACCAAACACTTAAGTCTGAGAGGACTTCTTTAGTAGTGCAAGTTGTGATGTGAGAGTAGTTGCTGGTTAACAAAAAAGGAAATTCATACTAAGATAACTGACATCTTTATCATGGTGATCCCAATATTTGATTTAGATAGGTTAAGACAACCAAAGACAAACCAAACTGTCTCTGTTAGCACTTTGTACCTTTTTATCTATCATTACATGTCTCTATTGCATTTTCACATCTTAAGTCACATATGGTCCTGAGAAAACCATCTGCCCCCTTACAGATTGATTTTAGTCACATTATCAAACAAAACAATAACTCATTATAAATTCAAGTGATTAGTTTACTTATTAAGAAAAAGCTATCATATATATAATCATAATTAGCTTATGAAAAAAAAACTCTTGTTTAATCATGACTTAAACATGATTAAAAACATAGATAAAATTTACTTGACACAATTACTGACTTGACTGTAGCATCAAGAAATCAAATGAGCAGAACCAGTCTGACAACATGAAGGAGACTGAAAAATAAAAACTGCAACCCATCAACCCAAAAATGCCCCTGAACAAACCTGGAACAGCAATGAATCTTCCCAGGATTTGCCAACCTATCAAAGTTACCCAGAATGCATTAATGAAACAATTGAATCACAGCAGGTCTCAGTCGCCTTAGTAAAAGACAACGTTTATGATCCATTAGTTAAAAAGAGGTTGGTCCAAATGTCTAGCCTGACTTAGTCCTACTCAATTCTAGTCAGAATATGAGTCTGATACTGCTCCATAGAGCTGTGATTATGGGGCGTGTTTTGAACGAACCAGGAAAAAAATGCCTCTGCACTCAATTGGATAGACCTACAACCAATAAGAGCAACGGAGTGCGTGACGTATGTTAAGCGAGGCATAGTTGTTGTCAACAAAAATCAAAGCGTGCAGTTGCACGCCTAGAATAAGAAGATGAGACTTGATCGCGTTTCTCTGTTCCTCTTTTAAAATTGATTTGCTGTCGATATCTTCTAGAACAGACCTAATAGCAGAATCTACACACCTCAACTCTCCAGCGGCAGCCATTGTTGTTGTCACCCAAGCACGCTTTGGTGACGTGGTTGATTACGTTACTGTTGATCATCTGTCCATCATCGTATAAAGCCCGCCCTGACAATTTGATTGGCCCGCCAGATATTGTGCGAGCATACTCACGCTACTATTGAGCAATGCCAGACCGAACTTCCCGACCTCCAACGTTGTGGGCGGGACTAAGTTCGGAATGGCACCCAGGCTACCAAATGTCATCCAATGTACAACTTTAAGGTGAAAACATGTGTTTACCAAAATTTCCCCAAATATACCCTTATAATCCTCAAAATTTTTTTTTAAATTAAAAGCAGACTCTGGCCTGTGTACTATTACATCCGGTGCATCATACCTGCAGTGTCATGATCTTGGAGCTGACGACTACCTTGATCTTTCATTCCATTTACCTGCCTAGCTCCACTTAGTTTCTCATTACCTTTCATTTGTGTCACCTGCTCAAGTCTCTATTTAACCTGCTTGTTCCAAGTCATCAGTGCCAGATTATTCAAGCCTTTGGTGAGAGCGTACTCGTTTGTGTTCTGAATGCCTCATCCTGACCCTTTTTGCCTTTGGACCTCTGAACTTAACTGTTCCTATTCTGATCTGTTTGCCTGAGCTGTCTTAGGACTGCTGCTGGATTCTGCCTGTTGACCAAACCTTGATCTGCTTCCTGACACTGACTTGGATTTCCCTTCGGTACCTCTTCGGATCACTGATCTTCTGGCCTCCTGTGAACCTCTACGATGCAGGCTTTAGCTTTGCCCTCTGTATTGTTCTGATGTCCTTCGTTTGCTCAGTTCTGATCTCCTGCCAGTTCTGAAGTCTACAAGACTTCAACGTCTGGAACTCTCTGGGCAGCGTTTGACGCTTCGTGTTGGCAGTCGTTCGGCCAGAATCCACCTCTTCCTCTTGGCATGGACTGAAATTCAAGACCAGGTTAGTGACTCACACGTTCATAATCATCCCCTGCCAGATTAATGTGGTCACTAACCCTTCTCCTGCAGAGGTTCTTGCCTTACACATCTTTGCTGCCACTGCCAATCCATCTTTTTTTAATAAACACTTTTTGAATAAGCTAACTGTCTGTCTTGCCCTGAATACTGGGTCTTCTGTTCTGAGCCTTGACATACAGTTCACTATCATGGTGGTGCTAGTGTGATGGTCCCAACCCTAACAGGCTTTCTGTACTGCATTTATGATCACTTGCTCTGTAGCAGGAAATCATAAATGGCTTTGAGTTCAAAGATAAGTGGTTTTTGCAGCAGGACAATTATCTGAAACACATTAGCAATTCCCCCCTGTTAGCCCCAGGACAAAATTAGTCACAGTGGCACAGTTTGGACTTAGTTCCAAGAATATGCAATGTAAAAACCTTTAACTGTTATAAATGCTTAGAAAGACCATAGCTCGGATACATTTAATTATTCTCCAAAACAGAAGAAGGTTGAATTTCAATAAAAAAAAAAAAAAACGTATAATGTCCTTCTTAAAAGTATCAAGTAACACCTTTGCAGGATTACATCACCTCTTTAGGTCCAAGACTCAAACTGTTATAGAAAACAATCAAGGTCACA